TCACTTCATTATTAAGTAGTGTATTGTTTAGCCTCCATGTGTTTGTATTTTTTACAGATCTTTTCCTGTAATTGATATCTAGTCTCATGGCGTTGTGGTCAGAAAAGATACTTGATACAATTTCAATTTTCTTAAATTTACCAAGGCTTGATTTGTGACCTAAGATATGATCTATCCTGGAGAATGTTCCATGAGCACTTGAGAAAAATGTGTATTCTGTTGTTTTTGGATGGAGTGTCCTATAAATATCAATTAAGTCCATCTTGTTTAATGTATCATTTAAAGCTTGTGTTTCCTTATTTATTTTCATTTTGGATGATCTGTCCATTGGTGAAAGTGGGGTGTTTAAGTCCCCTACTATGAATGTGTTACTGTCGATTTCCCCTTTTATGGCTGTTAGTATTTGCCTTATGTATTGAGGTGCTCCTATGTTGGGTGCATAAATATTTACAATTGTTATATCTTCTTCTTGGATCGATCCCTTGATCATTATGTAGTGTCCTTCGTTGTCTCTTCTAATAGTCTTTCTTTTAAAGTCTATTTTCTCTGATATAAGAATTGCTACTCCAGCTTTCTTTTGGTTTCCATTTGCATGGAATATCTTTTTCCATCCCCTTACTTTCAGTCTGTATGTGTCTCTAGGTCTGAAGTGGGTCTCTTGTAGACAGCATATATAAGGGTCTTGTTTTTGTATCCATTCAGCTAATCTGTGTCTTTTGGTGGGAGCATTTAGTCCATTTACATTTAAGGTAATTATCGATATGTATGTTCCTATTCCCATTTTCTAAATTGTTTTGGGTTCGTTATTATAGGTCTTTTCCTTCTCTTGTGTTTCTTGCCTAGAGAAGATCCTTTAGCATTTGTTGTAAAGCTGGTTTGGTGGTGCTGAACTCTCTCAGCTTTTGCTTGTCTGTAAAGGTTTTAATTTCTCCATCAAATCTGAATGAGATCCTTGCTGGGTAGAGTAGTCTTGGCTGCATGTTTTTCTCCTTCATCACTTTCAGTATGTCCTGCCACTCCCTTCTGGCTTGTAGGGTTTCTGCTGAGAGATCAGCTGTTAACCTTATGGGGATTCCCTTATGTGTTATTTGTTGTTTTTCCCTTGCTGCTTTTAAAATGCTTTCTTTGTATTTAATTTTTGACAGTTTGATTAATATGTGTCTTGGCGTATTTCTCCTTGTATTTATCTTGTATGGGACTCTCTGTGCTTCCTGGACTTGATTAACTATTTCCTTTCCCATATTAGGGAAGTTTTCAACTATAATCTCTTCAAATATTTTCTCAGTCCCTTTCTTTTTCTCTTCTTCTTCTGGAACCCCTATAATTCGAATGTTGGTGCGTTTAATGTTGTCCCAGAGGTCTCTGAGACTGTCCTCAGTTCTTTTCATTCTTTTTTCTTTATTCTGCTCTGCAGTAGTAATTTCCACTATTTTATCTTCCAGGTCACTTATCCGTTCTTCTGCCTCAGTTATTCTGCTATTGATCCCATCTAGAGTACTTTTAATTTCATTTATTGTGTTGTTCATCGTTGCTTGTTTCATCTGTAGTTCTTCTAGGTCCTTGTTAACTGATTCTTGCATTTTGTCCAATCTATTGTCCATTCTATCTCCAAGATTTCGGATCAACCTTACTATCATTATTCTGAATTCTCTTTCAGGTAGACTGCCTATTTCCTCTTCATTTGTTAGGTCTGGTGCATTTTTATCTTGCTCCTTTATCTGCTGTGTGTTTTTCTGTCTTCTCATTTTGCTTATCTTACTGTGTTTGGGGTCTCCTTTTGCAGGCTGCAGGTTTGTAGTTCCTCCTGTTTTTGATGTCTGTCTCCAGTGGCTAAGGTTGGTTCAGTGGGTTGTGTAGGCTTCCTGGTGGAGGGGGCTAGTGCCTGTGTTGTGGTGGATGAGGCTGGATCTTGTCTCTCTAGTGGGCAGGTTCACGTCTGGTGGTGTGTTTGGGGGTGTCTGTGGCCTTATTATGATTTCAGGCAGCCTCTCTGTTAATGGGTGGGGTTGTGTTCCTGTTTTGCTAGTTGTTTGGCATAGGTTTTCCAGCACTGTGGCTTGCTGGTCGTTGAGTGAAGCTGGGTGCTGGTGTTAAGATGGAGGTCTCTGGGAGATTTTCGCCGTTTGATATTATGTGGAGCTGGGAGGTCTCTTGTTGATCAGTGTCCTGAAGTTGGCTGTCCTACCTCAGAGGCAGAGCCCTGCCTCCTGGCTGGAGCACCAAAAGCTTTTCATCCACAGGCTCAGGATAAAAGGGAAAAAAAGTAGAGGGAATTAGTAGAAGTATGAGGAAAGAAAGAAGGAAAGGAGGGTCGGAAGGAAGGAAGAAAGAAAGAAAGAAGCAAAGAAGGAAAGAAGGCAAGAAGGAAAGAAAGGAGGGAGGGAGGGAGGAAGGAAGGAAGGAGGGAAAGAAGGAAAAAAGACAGAAAGAAAGAAGATACAGTAAAAATAAAATAAAGTATAATAAAGTTATTGAATTAAAAAATTTTTATTTAAAAAAAAAAAAAAAAAAAAGGGACGGAAAGAACCTTAGGACAAATGTTGGAAGCAAAGCTATACCGACAAAATCTTACACAGAAGCATACACATACACCCTCACTAAAAGAGGTAAATGGGGAAAAATCCTAAATCTTGCTGTCAGAGACCACCTCCTCAATTTGGGATGATTCGTTGTGCAAAGGAGGGAAGGAAGGAAAGAAAGAAAGAAAGAACGAAGGTAAAGTATAATAAGGTTTTTAAAATTAATTATTAAGAAAAAAAAATTAAAAAAAAAAAACATGGACGGATAGAACCCTAGGACAAATGGTGGAAGCAAGACTATACAGACAAGATCTCACACAGAAGCATACACATACACATTCACAAAAAGAGGAAAGGGGAAAAAATCATAGATCTTGCTCCTAAAGTCCACTTCCTTAATTTGGGATGATTGGTTGTCTATTCAGGTATTCCACAGATGCAGGGTACATCAAGTTGATTGTGGAGCTTTAATCCGCTGCTTCTGAGGCTGCTGGGAGAGATTTCCCTTTCTCTTCTTTGTTCTCACAGCTCCCAGGGCTAAGCTTTGGATTTGGCCCTGCCTCTGCGTGTAGATCGCTGGAGGGCATCTGTCTTTTGCTCAGACAGGATGGGGTTAAAAGAGCCGCTGATTGGGGGTTCTGGCGCACTCAGGCCGGCGGGGACGGAGGGGCACAGAGTGCGGGGCGGGCCTGCGGTGGCAAAGGCCGGCGTGACTTTGCACCAGCCTGAGGCGCGCTGTGCGCTCTCCCGGGGAAGTTGTCCCTGGATCCCGGGAACCCGGCAGTGGCGGGCTGCACAGGCTCCGCGGAAGAGGGGTGTGGAGAGTGACCCGTGCTCGCACACAGGCCCCTCGGTGGCGGCAGCAGCAGCCCTAACTTCTCCCGCCCGCCTCTGGGGTCCGCGCTTTCAGCCGCGGCTCGCGCCCGTCTCTGGATTCCGCGCTTTCAGCCGCGGCTCGCGCCCGTCTCTGGATTCCGCGCTTTCAGCCGCGGCTCGCGCCCGTCTCTGGAGTCCGCGCTTTCAGCCGCGGCTCGCGCCCGTCTCTGGGGTTCGCGCTTTTAGCCGCGGCTCGCGCCCGTCTCTGGAGTTCCTTTAAGCAGCGTTCTTAAACCCCTCTCCTCACGCCCCAGGAAACAAAGAGGGAAGGAAAAGTCTCCTGCCTCTTCTGCAGGTGCAGGGTTTTCCCCGGAATCCCTCCCGGCTAGCTGTGGTGCACTAACCCCTTCAGGCTGTGTTCAAGCCGCCAACCCCAGTCCTCTCCCTGCGCTCCGGCCTCAGCTCGCAGCCCCGCCCGCCCCGGCGGGTGAGCAGACAAGCCTCTCGAGCTGGTGAGTGCCGGTCGGCACCGATCCTCTGTGCGGGAATCTCCCCGCTTTGCCCTCCGCACCCGTTGCTGTGCACTCCTCCGCAGCTTCGAAGCTCCCCCCTCCGCCTCCCGCAGTCTCCGCCCGCGAAGGGGCTTCCTAGAGTGTGGAAACTTTTCCTCCTTCACAGCTCCCTCCCACTGGTGCAGGTGCCATCCCTATTCTTTTGTCTCTGTTTTTTCTTTTGCCCTACCCAGGTACATGGGGAGTTTCTTGCCTTTTGGGAGGTCTGAGGTCTTCTGCCAGCCTTCAGTAGGTGTTCTGTAGGAGTTGTTCCACGTGTAGATGTATTTCTGGTGTATCTGTGGGGAGGAAGGTGATCTCCGCGTCTTACTCTTCCGCCATCTTCCGCCTTCCCGACCCCTATAATTTGAATGTTGGTGCGTTTAATATTGTCCCAGAGGTATCTGAGACTGTCCTCAATTGTTTTCATTCCTTTTTCTTTATTCTGCTCTGCAGTAGTTATTTCCATTATTTTATATTCCAGGTTACTTATCCATCCTTCTGCTTAGTTATTCTGCTGTTGATCCTTTTAGAGACTTTTAAATTTCATTTATTGTGTTGTTCATCATTGTTTGCTTGCACTATAGTTCTTCTAGTTCCTTATTAAACGTTTCTTGTATTTTCTCCATTCTATATCCAAGATTTTGGATCATCTTTCCTATCATTATTCTGAATTCTTTTTCAGGTACACTGCCTATTTCCTCTTCATTTGTTAGGTCTGGTGGGCTTTTCTTTGCTCCTTCATCTGCTGTGTGTTTCTCTCTCTTCTCATTTTGCTTGACTTACTGTGTTTGGGATCTCCTTCTCACACGCTGCAGATGTGTAGTTCCCATTGTTTTTGGTATATGTCCCCAGTTGCTAAGTATGGTTCAGTGGGCTGTGTAGGCTCCCTGGTGGAGGGGACCTTTGCCTGTGTTCTGGTGGATGAGGCTGGTTCCTGTCTTTCTTGCAGGCAGATCCAAATCTGATGGTGTGTTTTCGAATGTCTGTGACCTTATAATGATTACCAGCAGCCTCTCCGTTAATGGCTGAGGTTGTGTGGATCTCTTGCTTTTTTTAGGCATAGGGTGTCCATTACTGTAGGATGCTGTTCGTTGAGTGGATCTGCGTCTTGGCACTGAGATGGACATCTCTGTGAGATTTTTGCTATTTTTTCTTACGTGGAGCTGGGAGGCCTTTTGTGGACCATTGTCCTGAACTTGGCTGTCCCACCTCAGAGGTAAAGCCCTGATGCCTGGCTGAAGCACCAAGAGCCTGTCATCCACATGGCTCAGAATAAAAGGGAGAGGGGAGGAGCTTCAAGATGGCGGAAGAGTAAGATGCGGAGATCACCTTCCTCCCCACAGATACATAAGAAATACATCTACATGTGGAGCAGCTCCTACAGATCATCTACTGAAAACTGGCAGAAGACCTCAGACCTCCCAAAAGTCAAGAAGCTCCACACATACCTGGGTAGGGCAAATGAAAAAAGAACTAAAGACAAAGAATAGTGATGGGACCTGCACCAGTAGGAGGGAGCTATGAATGAGGAAATGTTCCACACACTAGGAAGCCCCTTTGCAGGGGGTGACTGTGTTTGGCGGCAGAGGGAGCTTCAGAGCCATGGAGGAGAGTGCAGCATCAGGGGTGCAGATGCAAATGGAGAGATTCCCGCACAGAGCATTGGTGCTGACCAGCACTCACTAGCCCGAGAGTCTTTTCTGCTCACCTGCCGGGACACGTGGGGACTGGGAGCTGAGGCATTGTCTTCAGAGTTCGGATCCCAGGGAGAGCACTGGGGTTAGCTGTGTGAACACAGCCTGAAGGGGGCTAGTTCACCACAGCTAGCTAGGAGGGAGTCCGGGGAAAAGACTGGAGCTGCTGAAGAGACAAGAGACATTTTCTTGCCTCTTTGTTTCATCGTGCATGAGGAGAGGGGATTAAGAGCACCACTTAAAGGCCCTCCAGAGACAGGCACGAGGTGCGTCTATCAGCACGGGCCCCAGAGATGGGCATGAGAGGTTAAGGCTGCTGCAGCAGGCACCCAAAATCCTGTGTGCAAGCACAGGTCACTGTCCACCTCTGCCCTCCCGGGAATCTTTGCAGCCTGCCACTGCCAGGTCCCGTGAAGCAGGGACAATTTACCCAGGAGAGTGCACGGTGAGCCTCAGACTGGTGCAACGTCATGTCGGGCTCTGCCGCCACAGGCTCCCCCCACATCCGTACCCCTCCTCCCCCCAGGCTGAGTGAGCCAGAGTCCCCGAATCAGCTTTAACCCCGTCCTGTATTAGCGAAGAACAGATGGCCTCAGATGACCTACACGTAGAGGCGGGGTCAAATACAAAGCTGAATCCAGGAGCTGTGCGAAAAAAGAAGAGAAAGGGAAATTTCTCCCAGCACCCCCAAGAGCAGTGGATTAAATCTCCACAGTCAACTTGATGTATCCTGCATCTGTGGAATACCTGAATAGACAATGACTCATAACAAACTGACGAGGTGGACTTTGGGAGCACCGATCTATATATATTTTATCCTTTTTCTCTTTTTCTGAGTGTGTATGTGTATGCTTCTGTGTGTGATTTTGTCTGTGTAGCTTTGCTTTAACCATTTGTCTTAGGGTTCTGTCTGTCCATTTTTTTTTAACTACTTAAAAGTTTTTTTTCTTAATAATTGTTTGTTCATTTTTATGTTAATGACTTTATTTTATTTTACTTTATATTATTTTATCTTCTTCTCTCTTTCTTTTCTCCCTTTTATTCTGAGCCATGTGGAGGACAGGCTCTTGGCACTCAGGCCAGTCATCAGGGCTGTGCCACTGAGGTGGGAGAACGAAGTTCAGGACACTAGTCCACAAAAGACCTCCCAGCTCCACATAATATCAAATGGTGAAAATCTCCCAGAGATCTCCATCTCAATGACAAGACCCAGCTTCACTCAATGACCAGCAAGCTACAGTGCTGGACACGCTATGCCAAACAACTAGCAAGATAGGAACAAAATGCCACCCATTAGCAGAGAGGCTGCCTAAAACCATAATAAGGCCACAGACACTCCAAAACACACCAACAGACGTGGACCTGCCCTCCAGAAAACAAGAGCCAGCCTTATCCAACAGAACACAGGCAAGTGTCCCTGCCACCAGGAAGCCTACACAACCCATTTAACCAACCAACTTTAGCCACTGGGGACAGACACCAAAAACAACGGGCACTACGAAACTGCAGCGTGTGAAAAGGAGACCACAAACACATTAATTTAAGCAAAATGAGAAGACGGAAAAACACAGCAGTTGAAGGAGCAAGGAAAAACCAACCAGACCTAACAAATGAAGAGGAAATAGGCAGTCTACCTGAAAAAGAATTCAGAATAATGATAGTAAAGATATCCAAAATCTTGGAAATAGAACGGAGAAAATACAAGAAACTTTTAATTAAGACCTAGAAGAAATAAAGAGCAAAAAAGCAATGATGAACAACACAAAAAAATGAAATTAAGAATTCTCTAGAAGGGATCAATAGCAGAATAACTGAGGCAGAAGAACGGATAAGTGACCTGGAAGATAAAATAGTGGAAATAAGTACTGCAGAGCAGAATAAAGAAAAAAGAATGAAAAGAACTGAGGACAGTTTCAGAGACCTCTGGGACAATATTAAATGCACCACCATTCGAATTATAGGGGTCCCAGAAGAAGAAGAGAAAAAGAAAGTGACTGAGAAAATATTTGAAGAGATTATAGTTGAAAACTTCCCTAATATGGAAAAGGAAATAATTAATCAAGTCCAGGAAGCACAGAGAGTCCCATACAGGTTAAATCCAAAGAAAAACACGCCAAGACACATATTAATCAAACTATCAAAAATTAAATACAAAGAAAACATATTAATATCAGCTAGGGAATAGCAAGAAGTAACACATAAGGGAATCCCCATAAGGTTAACAGCTGATCTTTCAGCAGACACTCTGCAAGCCAGAGGGGACTGGCAGGACATATTTAAAATGATGAAGGAGAAAAACCTACAAACAAGATCACTCTAACCAGCAAGAATCTCATTCAGATTTGATGGTGAAATTAAAAGCTTACAGACAATCAAAAGCTGAGAGAGTTCAGCACCACCAAACCAGCTTTACAACAAATGCTAAAGTACCTTTTCCAGGCAGGAAACACAAGAGAAGGAAAAGACCTATAATAATAAACTGAAAACAATTAAGAAAATGGGAATAGAAACATACATATCGATAATTACCTTAAATGTAAGTGGATAAAATGCTCCAAGCAAAGGACACAGACTTGCTGAATGGATACAAAAACAAGACCAGTATATGTGCTGTCTATGAGAGACACACTTCAGACCTAGGGACACATACAGACTGAAAGTGAGGGGATGGAAAAAGATATTCCATGCAAATTTGAATCAAAAGAAAGCTGGAGTAGCAATTCTCATATCAGACAAAATAGACTTTAAAATAAAGACTATTACAAGAGACAAAGAAGGACACTACATAATGATCAAAGGATCGATCCAAGAAGAAGATATAACAATTGTAAATATTTATGCACCCAATATAGGAGCACGTCAATACATAAGGCAAATACTAACATCCATAAAAGGGGAAATCGAGAGTATAAAAATCATAGTGTGGGACTTTAACACACCACTTTCACTAATGGACAGATCATCCAAAATGAAAAAAAATAAGGAAACACAAGCTTTAAATGATACGTTAAGCAAGATGGACTTAATTGATATTATAGGACATTCTAACCAAAAAACAAAACAAAACAAAACAAAACAGAATAGACATTCTTCTAAAGTGCTCATGGAACATTCTCCAGGATAGATCATATCTTGGGTGACAAATCAAGCCTTGGTAAACTTATGAAAATTGATATCATATCAAGCACCTTTTCCAACCACAGCGCTGTGAGAATAGATATCAGTTACAGGAAAAAATCTGTAAGAAATACAAGCAAATGGAGGCTAAACAACACACAGACCTACTAATCAATGGACTTGAGAATATGGGAAGGGGTAAGCTGTGACAAAGTCAGACATTTTCATGGACATATATACACTACCAAATGTAAAATAGTTACCTGGTGGGAAGCAGCCGCATAGCACAGGGATATCAGCTCAGTGGTTTTTGACCACCTAGAGGGGTGGGATCAGGAGAGTGGTAGGGAGGGAGACAAAAGAGGGAAAAGAACTGGGAACATATGTATATGTATAACTGATTCACTTTGTTATAAAGCAGAAACTAATACACCATTGTAAAGCAATTATACTCCAATAAAGATGTAAAAAAAAACTTACAAAAATAAAAATAAAAAGTTGTTATGTGTAGGTAGTGAGGTTAAAGACAATTTGATTGAAAGTATTGCATATTTTTACATCAATTGTTATGATGACCAGATTCCTATGTAAATAAAATTATAAATAGCTATACAAAAAATATTTTAAAAAGAATAAGAAAAACACACTACATAATAATCAAGAGATCACTGAAAAAATCAAAGAGGAAATCAAAAAAAACATAGAAACAAATGACAATGAACAGAAAACAACCCAAAACCTATGGGATGCAGCAAAAGTAGTTCTAAGAGGGAAGTTTGTACCTATACAAGCCTACCTTAAGAAACAAGAAACATCTAAAATAAACAACCTAACCATACACTTAAAGCAATTAGAGAAAGAGGAACAAAATATCCCCAAAGTTAGCAGAAGGAAAGAAACATAAAGATCAGATCCGAAATAAATGAAAAAGAAATGAAGGAAATGATAGCAAAAATCAGTCAAACTAAAACTGGTTCTTTGAGAAGATACACAAAATTGATAAACCATTAGCCAGACTTATCAAGAAAAAAAGGGAGAAGACTCAAATCTATAGAATTAGAAATGAAAAAGGAGAAGTAACAACTGACACTGCAGAAATACAAAAGATCATGGGAGAAGACTACAAGCAACTCTATGCCAATAAAATGGACAAACTGGAAGAAATGGACAAATTCTTAGAAATGCTCAACCTTCTGAGACTGAAACAGGAAGAAATAGAAAATATGAACAGAAAAATCACTAGCACTGAAATAGAAACTGTGATTTAAAATGTTGCAACAAACAAAAGCCTAGGACCAGATGCCTTCACAGGAGAATTCTATCAAACATTTAGAGAAGAGCTAATACCTATCCTTCTCAAACTCTTCCAAAATATAGCAGAGGGAGGAACACTCCCAAACTCATTCTACGAGGCCACCATCACCCTGATACCAAAAACAGACAAGGATGTCACAAAGAAAGAAAACTACAGACCAATCTCACTGATGAACATACATGCAAAAATCCTCAACAAAATACTAGCAAACAAAATCCAACATAACATTACAAGGATCATAAACCATGATCAAGTGGGGTTTATCCCAGGAATGCAAGGATTTTTCAATATACGCAAATCAATCAACGTGATACACTATGCTAACAAATTGAAGGATAAATACCGTATGATGATCTCAATCGATGCAGAGAAAGCTTCCTACAAAATTCAACACCAATTTATGATAAAAACCCTGCAGAAAGTAGGCATACAGGGAAATTTTCTCAACATAATAAAGACCATATATGACAACCCCACAGTCAACAT